TATTCATACATATATATAATATTGGTATATGTACCTCTTGAGCAGTCTCGACTTTGGCGAGGTCTTCGTCTGATTCATCACTAAAAATCGATTTTTTTAGGAACGGTTGTTTAGCTTCTCCTTTAGTAACCGTTGCTGCGGCCTTCTTTTTGACAATAAGTCCGAATTGTTTCGGTTTGAAAGACGACATGCTTCTCTCTCTAAATGAGTATGTGGCACTTACAAGGTGTCTTCATATATTCAACGCTGACTATAATTTCCATTTATTGCATAGTTTTTCTCGCCACAGGTACAGTTGGCTCTTTGGGGCAACGTATGCGATAGCTAAATATCACAGCAAGTAAGAAGTATGTATTCAGTATTCAGACTGCGTACATCACTCCAGTAACGGCACTGTGCTCCACGTATTTAAATACTTAGCCTCAACAAAGCCGGGTCTATTTACCTCCGAAGAGGGAGTCCCGACAGGCCAACACCTACTACGAGCAAATGACAGAGCTGGCTAAATATGTATTTATTGGGTTTAAGTCTTCGAATATCTTTATGTTGATTAGCTGTCATCTCAATATGTTTATACTGATTGATGAGATTGATTGGGTAAGTAATTGGACAGCTGTTGTCACTGAGACGTGCATGAGTACTACCGCTTGCCTTGTGTTTTCCACCAGTGCCCCCGGATATCCTGTCCAACTATTTCCGGTTGCCTTCTACGCACCAATCAGAACATAATAAATGACATCTATTTATAGATCAAACATTCCATTGCTCCAGGTTCTCATTTGGAAAAGTCACAATAAATAGTGACAATATGGGGCACAGGGCTTTTCGCCAAAAAAAATAAATACAATATGTGCAATTGTTGCGCAGAAATAAATAAATAAAAATTTGCGACTGATTGCTAGAAGGACTATTTATGTAGTTATTTATGTATGTAGTTATTGTTTAGCTCTTTATATAGCGATAGATGCATACATCGCATTGCAAGAGCGTATCGGTATTTACTTCATTACTATTCAAATCAGTGTTGACACAGCAGCAGCTCAACTTCATTGATAGGCACGATGTATGTAAGTAGTTGTAAAGCAGAAATGCTCCTATAGGCATCATTAGCATATACAATTATAATACAGATATAATCAGTACTTTCTTTGCAACTGTATTTAAAGGGATCCGTTCTACTTCCTAGTGTAGTATATTGTCGGGAACGTGTACACACATATCATATAGTTTTACACACATACTATATACACGCGTGGTATCGACATACAATACTTATGCGTGATATTGATTGAGTAGCCAACATGCCCTTGAGAAGGATTAGAAGCAAGCCTGAAAAGGACAAGGACAAGGATAAGTCGGAGAGTGACAGTAGCAGAGGTCGCCATATAATTGACAATTTCCGAAGGCAGCTGTCTAAGTTGCCTAATTTGACTGGGCCACTAAATAGGAAACAACCGGGGCCAACTATATCAGCCAGTGAATATGATCATCTCAGTGACAAAGATGTTGAAAACTTGCTGGATATGCAACGGGTATGATCTTACCATTACACGGATGTTTGTAGGTCAATGGATGTACAATATATATATATATATATGTATGCATGTATGTATATATATTGGTAT